CTAACACACAATCATACAACAGCTGTTCTTAACTACAGACTAACACACAACCATATGTGTGTTAGATCTGTAGTTAAGAACAGCTGTTGTTGTATGGTTGTATGTTAGTTCTGTAGTTAAGAACAGCTGTTGTATGGTTTATATTTACACCCCAAACTTTTTAATATAAATGCTTAAATATCCGTTAAATGTTAAGTGATTAATTGACCAATAAGATATTACTATTGTCTAAATGATAAGTTAAAGAATCACTTGCACGCTGGAAATGAATGATTGATAATTTTTACGTCATAATTACGTCAGACTGTAAAATGTAGAGTATAGTGTAACGTGCGCAAAGGAATCCCGAAGTTAAAGAACCCTGACATTCGGAAGATCTCTCAATGTTTTTATGGTCCAGCAGAGCGTGCGTGTGAAGAAGAACCAGACTGCCAGTTTACAGACACGATTTGAAACTAGAAGGTATGGCAGGGTAATTTTGTTTCATTTTAACTTTCCTGAATTTCACAGGTCCGTATGACCGTGACAAACCTTGCCCCGAATTTCAAAAGAATATTACAAAATTGAAATAATTCAGCCTCTACTTAATTTACTTCAAATTTCTTGAGCTATTCCACAGTATATTAATTTGGAATTATTTCAACGACCTTTTTCTTTTTCTTTTTTTAGTGATTGACACAAAAAAATGAGCGAGAATAGTCAAATTGTACATCAAGAAATATTTAATTATTATTTTTATCTAATTCATATTTAAATTCATAACAGTTTTCAACCACACTACTTTTAGGTTTTAGTGTTAATTTGAAACTTTTTAGGCTTGTTTTTGTGAAGAATGAATGCTGAAGTAACGTTTTTTTTATATATATATATATATGAAATTCACTTTTCTGACTGTGTAAGGGCTACCTTAACTTTCTCCAATTCAGACCTGCGCAGACCCGGGTTTCTTACCACTGATTCTGCTTCACTGGGATTTAGATCCTTGTTTCGGGAATGATTATGTTATGAATTTCTTACCACGCACAGACGGTTTGGTTTGTTTAGAATTTCGCGCAAAGCCACACGGGGCTATCTGCGCTAGCAGTTCCTAATTTAGCAATGAAAGACCAGAGGAAAGGCAGCTAGCCGTCATCACCTACCGCCAACTCTTGGTCGACTCTTTTACTAACGAACAGTGGGATTTGCAGCCTTATTATAACGCTCCCACCGAAAGGGCGAGCATGTTTTGTGGGACGGGGATTCAAAACCCGCGGATTGCGAGACGAGCGCCCGAACCACCGCACAGTTTGGTGTCAAGAGAGTCCAAGTTTAATTAAGTCTATCATATTCGTGATTCGATGTGACTGACAGTTTCGTGTCTATATAATAAAACCGGAACGTTTTGTACGTCCTTAGAACGTTTCTCAGGACACCGGGACAAACGACCAGAAAACGTTAAAACAAGGACGTCTGGTCATCCTACGTATACCTCAGGGTATAATGTTAGATTAAGCTTTCAGAAAAAAGGGTCATTTGCACGTGCTATCCACACCAAGAGTAACAACGCGTAATTTAAATATTCGTTAAGAAATTACAACATTTACTATTGATAAAAAAATGATAAAAGTAACAACCTTTTTATTGTAAAAACATTGTTTGTTTGTTGTAAAGCATAAAGCTGATTTTTAATAGTGTTAACCCTCAGACTAAACACCGAGTTTTTTTTTGGGGGTGGGCAAAAAGAAACTTGTAAGAAGCACTTAAGAAAACGTAGAAGAAAAACTGGTAACAACACGTACAGTAATTTACATAATTATCATTACACCAACATGATGAGTTTTGGTATTATGCGAAGGGTCTCATCGGCACTGTATTATCACACATCTTCCTTTGCTTTCAATGAGGAGTTATTGGAATTATTGTATGCTTGTACAGATGTTTTTCTTGTAAAAACCGTATATACATTACTGGTGAACCAAAAGTAATGTTTGGTAAAGTTTCATTCTTCAACAAAGACCTCAAATCCATAGGCCATCGGTGATATTAATAACCACTTGTCTACATTAGGAAGCACGAGGGAGACTCCCGGGTCAGTTTTGGTTCTGTTAAGACAACTGATCACGAACAGCTGCAATATACGAAAGCACCACTGTGTAGACCGGTATGGAGGTTGACCTACTCATCTGTATATTTAGCTGTACTAAACTAAGTCCGATATTCTCAGAACCCAAGAACAGCTAAAATTATGAAACAACTACAGTCTAGTGTGATTATTATGACAAATATTAGGCCTAAACTCATTAGAATATCTGCATTCTACTCTTACAGTGCCTGATGTCCCTAAGCTGTGCAGCACGTGTTTACCTAACGGGACATCAACCATGGACCCTCGGGTTCACAGTCCGGGCATGCTAGCCACTAATATATCAGTTACGTAGAATAACAGTGAATATCATCATAAATGAACACAATATTTAATATCGTGTAATCTTCGTAAAGATAAGTTTTATATAATAAAAACTTAGATAATGTAATATGTCTTTGCTCTAAATCAAACAAACAAACCTTATGTGTAAGTAGTTGAGTAACTTTTTATGATATTATTTATTTGATCAAGTAATGCCTACATTGAACGGTTTAGTACAAGCACGTGCTTTTAACACACTGAATATACCCAATCAGAAACAAACCAAACAGCTTTTATTTAATAAATGACTTACAATATATTATTAAAACATTTGGATGTAATGACGATACTTTTAATTTCCATTGTAGCCCTTATCTGAAATATATACGTAATTATGACGTAAAAATTATAAACCATTCATTTCCAGCGTGCAAGTGATTCTTTAACTTTCATTTAGACAATAGTAATATCTTATTGGTCAATTAATCACTTAACATTTAACGGATATTTAAGCATTTATATTAAAAAGTTTGGGGTGTAAATATATACACATAAGGTTTGTTTGTTTGATTTAGAGCAAAGACATATTACATTATCAAAGTTTTTATTATATAAAACTTATCTTTACGAAGATTACACGATATTAAATATTGTGTTCATTTATGATGATATTCACTGTTATTCTACGTAACTGATATATTGGTGGCTAGCATGCTCGGACTGTGAACCCGAGGGTCCATGGTTGATGTCCCGTTAGGTAAACACGTGCTGCACAGCTTAGGGACGTCAGGCACTGTAAGAGTAGAATGCAGATATTCTAATGAGTTTAAGCCTAATATTTGTCATAATAATTACACTAGACTGTAGTTGTTTCATAACTTTTAGGTTTAATATTTGTCATAATAATCACACTAGACTGTAGATGTTTCATAATTTTTAGGTCTGATATTTGTTATAATAATCATACTAGACTGTAGTTGTTTCATAATTTTTAGGCCTAATATTTGTCATAATAATCAAACTAGACTGTAGTTGTTTCATAATTTTAGGCCTAATATTTGTCATAATAATCACACTAGACTGTAGTTGTTTCATAATTTTTAGGCCTAATATTTGTCATAATAATCACACTAGACTGTAGATGTTTCATAATTTTAGGCCTAATATTTGTCATAATAATCAAACTAGACTGTAGTTGTTTCATAATTTTTAGGCCTAATATTTGTCATAATAATCACACTGGACTATAGATGTTTCATAATTTTTAGGTTTAACATGAGGAAAGAAGTCTTAGTTCTATTATTTTTTATTGTTATTGCTTTTAATACACCCATATTATGACAGGTAAAATCTGTACTGTTTTTTGCATGTTGACCGTGGATAATATTCCTATATTAAGATAGTTTATTTAAATTATGTTTTCACTATCTTTGTTATACAAATTCTAAATACCTTTTTTTTCCTACATTCGAATTTAGCCATGCAATACCGTAAACTTATTGATGTCCCACCGGTGGACAATAAATCCATTGATAATGTAATACACGTTTGGCCGACAACGTAATAAATATAATACGTCATTAACTGGGTGAGAAATTCACCCCAAATTAACTTTTGTTTTTTTTTTTTTTGTTTACCAAGTCGACTTTTTGCGGGCGTCTCAAAATGGCGTCATTAGAGAACAATTAACTACTGAAAAGTAAACTGTCAGGGTTGACACTCCAATGCAGAAATGTACTAAAGGTCGTTTCTTATAAGTCACTTATAAAGTTTTGTTAATTGGCATCTCTTTGTTTATTTGTTAATTTACAGAGTTCTTGTTCCACTTCCTTCAGCTCTATGAAGGTTGGTTGTTGTTAAGCCCTAAGATACACGATGGGTGCATCACAGGTATTGTTTAAATTAAACACGAGCCTATAAAATATCTTATTTATATTTATTAAATAGAAATAAATGACAAGATTCAACGATGCAGAATTAAGCAGTATGTAAATTATAAACATTCTTACACAACTATGATCTATTGATGTATTTGCTTGCTTGTTTGTAGTTAAGCGCAATATGAGTCTTCAGACTTACCGCTGCGCCATCTGTAGTCTAAGGCGTATTTCCTTGCAAATACGAGTGATTGAGTATGGTAACTTCTCAAATGTAGATAGAAATGTCACTGAAAATATAAATTTTGGCTTGCTCGAATCAGAATATGACGGTTTGGCGTCAGTCATAAATTTGTTTTAAATCTTATTACATTATCTGTTAAAGTCACGGCTAACTTTTATCACGTTACCGGTTGTAACATTCATTTCCACACTTATCAACCCTGACTTTAATATTCAGTCATAAATCCATCGTAAGTTTCTCCGATGTCACGTATATAAATCCTACACATCCCAAACCAGTGACTTTAGTTTTAACCTGTTTAGAAGTTGTGCGTTCAATTTCCCACAATAGGTACTCGGGTAATTGTTGTAATGAATTTTTGAAATCTATAAAATAATGATTCTCTTCTGCAGCTTTTGGGGGGAGTAATAAATAAATTTGACCCTTTCTCATCATATGACAAATGGAAGTCTGAAAAATTACGAGTTACATCGTCCCATTGTTCCAAAAACGTTTATTTTTTTTAAGGCCATTGAATATACGTAACTCTTTAACTTTAATGTAAGCATTATTATTTATCATAGCTGACAATTGTAATTTTCAAATGTGTACGGTAAAGGCTTCGAAATAACGTATACGAGGAACTAAAAAAAGCTTTTTGCTTTCTGTGTTTGCAGCAACGTGATTGGTTGACGTAGTTCACCAAGTACTTCCTGGTTGTTGGCGGACGTGGTGAATTGTCTCGTAAATAGATAGTGTTTTGGTGGAAAGATATTTTGATTGTTCACATCTTATATATAGACTTTGGGAAACACTTTATAATTTGTCGAACAAACATAGTTTAAATAAACTATCTTAATTAAGGAATATGCTACACGATCAACATGCAAAAATCAGTACAGATTTTAACTGAATAAAGTTTAAAAAATGTTAACGTCTGTCCAGGTAAAACACACGACTTTAATCAGTCGCAAGTTCTCTTCCTACATACATACGTACAGACACAAGAAGGAAAGGGCGACGAGGGCTGGCCGATCGGGTTGAGACTGTATATTTTCCTAACTTTGTTGCATCATCGGGGCTGTCTTAACACAAATTTGCCGAATCTTTGTTTTGGAGTGCATAATACGGATAGTTTAATAATAAAAAAACCATGACTTGGCCCTGAAGTACATATAATATCTGTAATCTGGTAGGATTTTTATCAATGATATTAGGCCTAAAAATTATGAAACATCTACAGTCTAGTGTGATTATTATGACAAATATTAGGCCTAAAAATTATGAAACATCTACAGTCTAGTGTGATTATTATGACAAATATTAGGCCTAAAAATTATGAAACATCTACAGTCTAGTGTGAGTATTATGACAAATATTAGGCCTAAAAATTATGAAACATCTACAGTCTAGTGTGATTATTATGACAAATATTAGGCCTAAAAATTATGAAACATCTACAGTCTAGTGTGATTATTATGACAAATATTAGGCCTAAAAATTATGAAACAACTACAGTCTAGTGTGATTATTATAACAAATATTAGACCTAAAAATTATGAAACATCTACAGTCTAGTGTGATTATTATGACAAATGTTAAACCTAAAATGAAACAACTACAGTCTAGTGTGATTATTATGACAAATATTAGGCCTAAAAATTATGAAACAACTACAGTCTAGTGTGATTATTATGACAAATATTAAACCTGTAACCTGGTGGATAACAGTCGAACTTGAGTAACTCGTGAAAAGGTAAATAAATCTTTAACCCTAGTGAATATATATCGTCGTTACTTCATTGTGAGATCAGAATGTTTTAACCAATACTGGGTCAAAGGTTTGCCACAAAGTTTAAAATAAAATAAACTGTCAGGTGACTGTAGAAAATATTTCAAAACGAAGTTGCAAAGAACAACATATTATGATATATTACACCTTAAGGATATAGAAGGTGTGAGTAGAAGGTGGTGGTTATGTTAAATTTTCAGGCTGCTTATACTTGGTGGTGGTTACATAAAAAAAATTCGGGTACATGCTTGGTCGATTGATAGTACAATAATCACCAGTTACTGACATCACAGTCTTTCTGGGATCACTGATAGTACAATAATCACCAGTTGTTGACATCACAGTCTTTCTGGGATCACTGATAGTACAATAATCACCAGTTGTTGACATCACAGTCTTTCTGGGATCACTGATAGTACAATAATCACCAGTTGTTGACATCACAGTCTTTCTGGGATCACTGATAGTACAATAATCACCAGTTACTGACATCACAGTCTTTCTGGTATGACTGATAGTACAATAATCACCAGTTGTTGACATCACAGTCTTTCTGGTATCACTGATAGTACAATAATCACCAGTTACTGACATCACAGTCTTTCTGGAATCACTGATAGAACAATAATCACCAGTTACTGACATCACAGTCTTTCTGGAATCACTGATAGTACAATAATCACCAGTTACTGACATCACAGT